AATTTCCCCCGTCTATCTCTGTATCTGTTTTGTAATAACTATTTAGACTGTTACTGTACTGTTTAATAGGGATTAGGTCCCTGTTCTGATTGATTGTAAATGTTGTACATACTGCTTTTTACGGTTTATGTATATATGTATGAAAAGTCTTTTTGCATACAGACTGCCACAGCTTATTGGACATTGTTTATTTACTGTTTTGGCTTCCGCCATGCCCCTATACTTTGTAACACTGTTTTACTGTTAAGCAGGCCTTCGGTAATCACGGATTACTGGCCAGTTACAGTGCTAAACCCATAGGGGCGGGTTTGGGTCGTGACACTTGAGATGACGGACGATATTCCACGAGGCGGGACTCCCCCGGAGCAGGATATGGACCCCGAGGCCGAGCTCTTGCCTTTGAGCGTCCGACCGTTTGACTTGGCAACTTACAGGCCAGCGATTCACGTGCTACCCCCTGATGGTCTTCGCCAGTTTAGGAGTTTTGATAGGGGCGTGCCACCAGAGCTTCTACTGCGCGAGCCTGAGTCACATCTGTCTTACGGCGCTTCTGAGGTATACTCTTCCCCCTGTTTTATTTTTTGCAATGTAGAACATATAACTGCAATAGTCAATACTGCTCTTCGACTGCTTAACTTAGATACCACGATATATTAGATGCTATAGTTCACTGCGAGCACACCGGCACCCGATATCTGTTTGAATCTGAACATGTGCACACACGCTGTATTTTTACTGAAACATTCAAACACACTGACACATCATATGCTGTAGTTCTCTGCAAGCACACCGGCACCCGATGTCTGTTTGAATCTGAACACATGCACACACGCTGTATTTTCACTAAACCATTCAAACATACGTCATATGCTGTAGTTCTCTGCAAGCACACCAGCACCCGATGTCTGTTTGAATCTGAACACGTACACACACGCTGTATTTTCACTGAACCATTCAAACATACTGACACATCATATGCTGTAGTTCTCTGCAAGCACATCGACTCCCGATGTCTGTTTGAATCTGAACACGTGCACACACGCTGTATCGTTATCAATTCTAAATGCTCTTTAAAATTGTATATTTAATATTGCTTCGTAACCGTTTACTTTGAAAATAGGGAGATTCTCATGCCTTTCGGGGGTATGGGAATGTCGCCGCCCGAGGATGGTATATGGAGCGACCCGATGCGGTCCGCCACATTGTCGACCAGGCCGGCTTCGGCACTTTCTGCAGGGGACTCTCGCGCCTCACTGCAAGCAGGCCTCTTCTTGTTGCTTTGGTAGAGAGGTGGTGGGACACCACTGACTCCTTCCACCTTTCAGCCACGGGAGACATGACGATAACTCCCTTCAACTTCTCTATGCTCACAGGCATCGGACTAGGGGGTGATCCGATCCCCTTCGATACAGATATTGACGAGTGGGAGGCCGCTTAGATATACTTGCTCGCCGAGCTGCCACCTCTTGCCCGTCCAGGATTCGTGAGGTATTCATGGTTCGAGGACCACTTCAAGATTCAGCTATCCTTGGCTCAGGAGGCACCGATGGCTCAGGAGGAGGTGGAGTAGTATGCACGTGGCTTTCTTATGTTCCTGCTGGGGACTACTCTCTTCGCCGACCGGGCGAACACTGTGCTTGCTGAGTGCACTTGTGAATGTGACCAGGATCCTGCGCTATGACTAGGGTGGGGCAGCCTTGGCCACACTCTATGGATACATGAGCTTATCTTCCCGTTGCAGCGGACAGTTGCTCAGGGGCTACTGGCGAGCTTGGGAGGTACATCATCTTCTTTTGTTTTACATTTCTGCTTTACATTATCTGTACTCTGTACACTGCACACATCGCGGCTTGCTTCACACTGGTCGTATACTGTACACACGACATATAATCTTCTTTACACTGACTGTATACTGCACACACTGTACACTTTCCACAATACACGGTTCTGCGATTTCTGCTTTATTCTACATTCTGCTTTATCTGATAAGCATACTGATATTTGCTTTGTTATACTCTGTAGTTGTGGGTCTACGCCTACTTCTCGAGGCTTGCCCCAGTGCCAGACGGGGAGGTCTCCCTCGGCGTTCCATTCTCTCGCCGCTTCGATATGAGAGGTGTGCGGAGACCCCGAGAGTCTTTCATATTCTTCCGCCGATATTTTGATACCATCACCGCCGCAGAGGTATTTTAGAATTTGCAGTTCATTTAAGCTTCGCTTTACATTATTCCTTTGATAACAGTAGATAACAAACTGCATATCATTTACAGATCACCTGGCAGCCTTGGGCTCCGTTGCCTGACGTAGTTCGGGAGCGGTACGCTGGTGTTGAGGAGACTGCCCGATTTAGGATTTTGCTGGAGGACCTGTTCTGTCGGGCTTGGTACCTGAGCGAGCGTTTCTTGCGCCAGACCTTAGGTTTACCAGTGCAGATTGTCCCAGGTCTGCCTCCTGCCCACATAAGGCACACTGAGAGGTTCTCCCTCGAGCAGATGGTCAATTACACGATCGGTTGGGACTCGGTGCATTTTAGAGGCGAGGGCAACTACGCAGAGTACATCCGAACCTATATCATGCGGCCTCTGAGCAGTAGCGGTCGAGCTGAGAGGGAGAGGCCTGCGGCGCCAGCGGCTGGAGCAGGAGCAAGAGCACCGAGGATGGCTCGGGCCCATGGCAGGAGTGGGCCCCGGAGAGGACAGAGGGCTGGGTGGCCAGCACTGCCCACGATGATGACCTGCAGAGGGCAGGGTGAGGAGACTTACCAGATCCCCATCGCTCCCCCTCCGGCTGATCACGAGCTAGTCGGGTTCTACGATTTGCCCCCGGTATGTATTACTACATTTTGTATTTTGCACCGTCATTTCATTTTATTTGATATTCCGCAGAATACTAATGTTTCTAGCACTCTTGCAGGCTTCTTCTGAGTACACTCGCCAGCATCTGCTTGCCTGCCCATTGACATGGAGCGACACGAGGGTTTATTTTGGCTAAAGATGAAGAAAAACTGTTGGTCAAACCTGCCAACCTTCTTGAGCCTAGATCTTTATCTTTGCTGAAGAAGAAAATGTTTGTCAAACCTGCCAATCTTCTTAAGCCTAGATCCTTATGTCAGCTGAAGAAGAAAAAGTGTTGGTCAAACCTGCCAACCTTTTTGAGCCTAGATCCTTATCTCGGCTGAAGAAGAAGAAGTGTTAGTCAAACCTGCCAACCTTTTTGAGCCTAGATCCTTATCTCGGTTAAAGAAGAAAAAGTGTTGGTCAAACGTGCCAACCTTCTTGAGCTTAGATCCTTATCTCGGCTAAAGAAGAAACTGTTGGTCAAACTTGCCAACCTTCTTGAGCCTGGATCCTTATCTCCGTTGAAGAAGAAATTGTTAGTCAAACCTGCCAACCTTCCTGATTGCCCCCAGTCGGTAATAAGTACGAACAACTTTTATAGAGAAAAGAATTTTTTCCTAAAACATGTCTACTTGCTTTATTGAAAAAGAAAAAAATACAAGTGTTTTAAGAAAAAGTTAAAAATAAAATACTTTGAGATTGGCCGTATTCCATGTCCGGCGAACAGCTTTGTCGTCCATATCTTCTAAGTGATATGCTCATTTTCCTGCTAAACCAACCAATCACTTTGTATGGCCTTTCCTAGTTAGGGCCTAACTTGCCATCTCCAAGTACCAAAGTGTTGCCCATTACTTTGCACAGTATCCAATCTTCAATCTTGAATTGTCTAGGGTGCACTATTTTGTTGTATTTCCTAGATAACTCTTGTTGATAAGAGGCAATGTGTACTAATGCCCTTTCTATTCTTTCATCTGCAAGGTCGAGTTCTAGGGCTGTGGCCTCACCATTCAAGTCTGGATCAAAGTTTTCGCATCTAATTGTGGGGAGACCCACTTCTAGGGGGATTACTGCTTCCATGCCATAGGCCAAAGAAAAAGGTGTTTCGCCAGTTGACCGCCGAGGTGTGGTACGGTAAGCCCATAAAATATGGGAAAGGTCCTCAGCCCACTTGCCTTTTGCTCTTTCCAGCCTCTTTTTTAGACCGGCTAGGACTACTTTGTTGGAAGCCTTAACCTGGCCATTAGCTTAGGGGTATGCTGGCGTAGAGTTGTAGAATTCTATCTTGTATTCTTCACAAAAACCCTTAAACATTTTGCCATCAAACTGAGTGCCGTTGTCGGATATTAGTGCCTTGGGTATGCCGAACCGAGTTATAATGTTCTGCCAGATGAACTTTTTGACGTCTTTTTCTTTCATGGATGTGAGTACTTCTGCCTCCACCGACTTTGTGAAATAGTCTGTTGGCATGAGAAAGAACTTTCTGTTGCCTAGCACAGTTGGAAGTGGTCCCACTATATCCAGGCCGCACATTGCAAAGGGCCATGGGCTAGTCAAAGGTAGGAGCTCTCTAGCTGGTTGATGTATTTGATGTGCGAATTTATGGCATTTCTCACACTTCTTGACATACTTCTCTGAATCTGCTTGCATGTACGACTACCAATACTCTTATGAAATTGCTCAGTAGGCCAGCGATCTTTTCCCTTGGTGGCTTCCACAAACGCCTTCGTGTATTTCGAACAAAAATGCCTCGCCCTTACTAGGATGGACACACTTTAAAAAGGGTCCTGTGAATGATTTTTTGTATAATGCTAGTAATGGGGAGAGCCAAAATTATTGTGACTTTGCTATGATTTTATTGGCTTCTTTCTTTTCTTCAGGTAAGATGCTATCTTTTAAAAACACTATGATGGGATCCATCCAGGAAGGGCCTAGCTTGACACAGCATGCTTCGGCTGCTTTGGGCTCTTCAATACTTGGTCTGGATAGGAAGTCAATCAAAAATGGATGTGGGATGGATGTATCTGCTATTGACGCAAAACCGACCAGCTCATTTGCCTTACTATTTTCCTCTCGACCAATTTGCTCTATCTGAACTACTTCAACCTTCATGATCTCCTTTTTGACCAACTCTTGGTACTTAGCCATTCTATCATCCTTTGCTTCCTAGTCGCCTGAAATCTGGTTGACTACCAATTGGGAGTCACTGTACACCATCAACTCGGTGGCCTTTATGCGAAGTGCTGATTTTAAACCTGCTAATAATGCTTCATACTCTACCTCGTTGTTGGATGCTAGGAAACCAAGGTTGATTGCCTGTTCAATTATTAGGCCATCCGATAAGATGAGAACTATGCCTAGTCCTGCAAGGTGCCTGTTGGATACTCCCTCCACAAAGAGTTTCCACTTCTCTTCGATGAATAGCTTCCAACAAGTGAAGGGATCTGATGTCTTGAGATCAGGGGCGTTGCTGATGCCTTCTTTCGAGTTAATGTCTGCCGCTGGGCTTTGATACTCACTGTCAGACTGTGTCAAGACTATACATTTGGGTGAGTCCTTGCTAGCAGTGCTGCGGTTTGTTCCTTCTTCCCTTTATTTAGGGCTGAATGGCTTGCTATGTAATTGAGCGTCCTGCTTTAGGGGCTGCGCTATTCCTGCAGTACTTTCCCCCCTTCTTTCGGTTGCCTCGGTCAAGTCGATCGGGTAAACATGATGACTTCCTAGCGCGAACTTGGCCACGAAGTTTGCCAAAGCTTGGGCCTTTATTGCGGTTCTTGGTTGAAACTTAATGTCGAACTGCCCCAACTCCATTGCTTACTTCAAAATTCGTCCGAAAAAATCCGTCCTCTCAAACAAGGCTTTTGAGGGGAAAGCCGTTAAGACAATCACGGTGTGGGCATGGAAGTAGTGCGACAATTTTCTTGAAGTCATCATAAAAGCTAAGGCCAGTTTTTCCAACAGCAGGTACCTTGTTTCAGCGCCCAGCAATGTCTTGCTCACATAAAAGATAGGCAAGTGTTATATTCCCTCAACTCTTACCAACACTGCGCTAACTACATGCTGGAAAACTGCTAAGTACAAAAAGAGCTCCTTTCCTGGTACTAGGGTCACTAACAATGGAGGAGAGGTCATGTAGTCTTTCAAGCTTTCCAGGGCACGGTTGCACTCATCATCCCACTCAAACTTGGCCTTCAGTGCTTGGAAGAACGGTCGACACCTGTCTGACGACCGACTTATGAATCGGTTTAGCGCGGCTGCTAGGCCAGTGAGGTACTGCACCTCCTTGACTGTGTTAGGCCTCTCAAGATCTTGGATGGCTTTGATCTGAAAGGAATCAGTTTCTATACCCCGGTTGGTCACTAGAAAGCCCATGAATTTTCCTGACCCCACGCCGAATGCGCACTTAGATGTGTTCAATCGCAACTTATAGGACTTCAAAATTTGAAGCATCTCATCTAGGTCTTTGAGATGGTTCCTCTTGTTTATGCTTTTGACCACTATATCATCTATGTAAGCTTCCATTGTTCTGCCTAACAATGGCTCAAACATTTTGGTGATCATCCGTTGGAATGTTACCCCTGCATTTTTTAGGCCAAAGGGCATGACCTTGTAGCAATATAGTCCTCTGGGTGTTGTAAACGACGTGACCTCCTGATCCGGTTCATACATAGTGATATGATGGTGATCGCGATATGCATCAAGAAAGCTAAGTTGGTTATGCCTTGTTGTTAGGTCCACCAGTTGGTCTATTCGTGGTACGGGAAAGCTATCTTTCGGGCATGCTTTATTAACTGTTTTGTAGTCCACGTAAACGCGCCATTTGCCGTTCTTTTTTTGCACCACTACAGTGTTGGAAATCCACCTAGGACAGTGTACTTCTCTTATTGCCCTTGCTTCCAGCAAATTTCCCACTTCTTCTGCCACTATCTCTGCATGGTGGAGTGCTGACCGGCGAGTTCGCTGTATAATTGGTCTGGCGGTTGGATGGACATTGAGTTAATGGCGGATGAAATTGGGGTCAATGCCAGCCATGTCATACGACATCCAGGCGAACACTTCAATGTTAGAGGTCAAAAATTCTATGATCTCTATTCTTTCAGTGCTGGACAGAGATGGGCCGAGCAAAAAGAACTTCTCTGTGTTTTTTTCATCTATCCGTACCTCTATTAAGTCTTCCACTGCCTTCTTTTTGGTTGCTTTGCCGACGTCTGCAAATTGCTCATTGCTTTCTGGCTTTTCTACCATTTATACATACCCTTTTGCAGCCCGACTACCGTTTACTATAACGAAGCACTGTTTCGACATGATTTGGTGCCCTAAGACTTCTTCAATTATTTCGGTTTCGTTGGGGAGCCATAGCACCTGATGGTAGGTCGAGGCAACTGCTCACATGGCATGCAACCATGCCCTTTCCAATATTATGTTGTAAGTGGACGGGACCTTTAATACCCAGAATTCCACTTGCTTCGTCATTGTTCCTGCTTTGACTGGCAGAATTATTTTGCCGATCGACCATTTTGGCATTGAGTTGAAGCCGACTAAGGGAGATGTTGTGGGTGCCAAATCTTTGTCCTCCAATTTGAGTTGCTTGAAGGTCTCGTAGTACATTATCTCGCATGAGCTCTCTCGGTCAATCAGGATCCGCTTGATGTCGAAATTCTTGATGCGCAGAGTAACCACTAGTGCGTCATTGTGAGGGCTTTGTAACCTTGCTAAGTCTTTGTCAGAAAAGGTGATGACATTCGTGGCCTCCGTTTTTTCCCTTTTGACGGTAGGTTGTGTACTTAGTACCTCTCTCAAGTGTTCAGCCTTTTTAATCATCCCTCTGATTTCACATACCCATTTAGGTTTGATGATCCCATGTATTACGTTGATTATGCCTTGGAGCGGATCGTCGACTAGCATCCCATCTGACTTCTTGCTGTCCTAGGGGATTGACTGTGTTCTCCCCTCAATATATTGGTCCAGGTGGCCTACGGCTACTAACTCCTCCAAATGTTGCCTCAATGGCATATAGTTTTCAGTTCGGTGCCCCTTTTCATCATAGAAGGTGCAACGATACCTATCATCATAGCCTCTCTGTGCTTCTCCCAACTTGGTCGGCCGCCGAACGAAGGGTTCATCGCGTATCTCGCTAAGAATCCGATAGATAGGTTTATTGAATACCGTGGTGATGGCAATGCAGACTCTCAACTTCCTTGCTTGGGGGTCCTCTGTTGGCTCGTCTGCCTCTCCCATTTTTTCTCGGTTGCTCTTCCTGCCCGACCGTGTTCACTTTTGCTGTAGATTTTTTATCTGACATTGCTGTTGTGCTAGCTTTTGCTTTAGTGCGCGCGACATCTTCTTCTATCTGGATGTGCTGATGCCCTCTTTCCATTAGGGCCTCCATTGTGAGGGGTGGAGTCATCGCCATTGAATCTCTCAATTTATTGCCAGCCGACAAACCTTGTTTGTACTGTGCTATAGCTAGGTTTGTGGGGCAATCTCCAATTTGATTAAAAGTCTCCCAATACTGGTTATTGTAAGACCTCAATGTTTCCTTCTCATCCATGTCAATGGAGAGAAGTTGGTCAATCTCCACTGGCGTCTTGGTGTTCGTTCTGAATCTGGTCACAAATGCCTCTGCCAGTTGTGTCCATGAAGCTATACTACCTTTTGGAAACCTTTCAAACCATGTTAAACCCAGGTCACCAAGTCTAGAAGGAAACAGGATACACATTAGAGCCTCGTTTCGCCAATATACAGCCATAACCTGGCGGAAGTGGCTCAAGTGCATGTAGGGGTCCGACTTCCCCTCATAGGTAGTGAATTTGGGCTGGTGGAAGCCTGAGGGTAATGGTGCATTCTCTATCGTCAGAACGGACGGCGAGCTCTACAACCTTGATAACTCTTTGTCTGCTAGTTCATAGGCAAGGCGCGGCTCCGACATTCCAACCTCGACCCTCCAATGTGTTCTAAGAGCCAACTGTTATAGTGCGGAGACTCTGCAGGGGTCGCGAGCCTAAGTGTCTTCTCTCCTTCGAGCCCTTTCCTCAAGCACTGTCCGCAGGTCCACTGACATAGGCAACTCCGTGTGCCTAGATGTTGTTTGGTGCGAATGCGAGGGCCGATAACTGCTTCCTTCCATGTAAGACCTTTCAGGCCTCGTTCTCTCAGACCTAGAGCAACGAGTCCTGGAAGTCCTTGATTGTGTATCGCCTATCCTGAGGCTTTTACTTTCAGCTTGTGACGGTGTGAATTGTCTGTCACGTTCTTCTGAGTGGTAAGAACGTGTGTTTCTTTAATGCCCCTCTTCTGTTGCCACCCATTTTCCTTTTATCTGGTGCTTCATTGTCTCCATGTCTGCCGTCATCCTTCGTATTAATTCGTCTTTCTCTCTTACCGGATCTTCTAGAACCTGAGGATCTAACCTCCGCCTTTTCTTTTCAGGGCTTTGGGAATGACGAGGACTGGAGCCTCGTATTTCTCATGTGTCCCTCTGCGGGTTCCGTCGTTGGAGATCTAACTCTGCCATCGGCGGGATAAAAGGCAAGCCTTCGCACCTCCCGCCCCCCTCTGGGGTTTGCCTATCAATAGCAAATTGTGGCAAGTCTTCATTGTGCGCTATTGAAATCAGCTGAAAGAAAACTTATTCAAGAGGTTTGTTCTTTGTGATTGCTTCCCACAGACAACGCCAATTGTATAAGTACAAAATAATCTTCTCATATAATCCTGCTGACCAAGTTTGCACTTCTCCAAACTTGTCGCTTTGTCACCTGAAAACACAAACGTGAGCTAGCTAGCCAGCGGGTGTGTGTCGGAAACCTCTCCAATACCTAAGTCAGCAAATTGACAATAGACAAAAGCTCTGTGTATTCGAGAGTAACAATTATGATATCTGTACATAGGTTTATCATGAGCTTTTGTAGATTCCGCCTAACACAATCCTAGTAGGATTCCAACTCTTCACATACGAGTCCTCCTATGAATCACACTTCCAAGGATAATGCATATCCTCACAACACCGTACTCAGTGCTGACCAAATGAGACGGTTTTTACCTCGGCATAGTTGGTGCGGTTTTAACCGAGCTAGCCTGTCTCCGCCGTGCTCTCAACAAAACAATGAGGTAGATGGCGTTCGTCCGAGCTAAACTTAGCTCGGCCCTTACCACTAATGCGTACCTCGGTTGGCTACAAGGCTTCCTTTTGGGCAGCTAACTCGAATCCTGGGCAGCACATCCGACCGGATCGACGTTAGTCCACCCAAAATCGAGCTACCAAAGCCCCTACTATGGCCCATAACCCGGTCCTTTAGCACGACCCAATTTACCTATATAAATTACCCTCTCATGTTTGATTATTTTTTTAGTTTACATTCCCCCCCTCCCAAAAAAAAAAAAAGGAGAGAGAGATAACTAGCAAAAATGAAGTGAGGCAAAACAGCTAGCTATTTGACTAGCAAGTTTGAGATCGGTGTTCAAGACAAATAAAAGCATTTTCAAGGCTATGTCAAAATTTTTATTAAATTTTGAGTAAAAATTTAATAAAAAGAAATTTTCATCAAATATCATTACAAGTTCAGTTGTCCGGAAGGATGTCTAGGAGGACGTCCAGCCATGAGTAAAAATTGATGTTGAGATAAAGAAAGCTCGATTGTTTGGAAAGATGTCCAGGAGAACATTCGAGCGAACGTCCAGCCCAACGGCTACTTGCAAAATTTGATGAAGGATAAAAACTCCCTTGATTTAATAAAAGATTTGGTTCTTCCATCATTTGATATTAATTTGATGAAAGCGTTAAAACTGAGTTTTAATGCGTTTTTCATCAAATAAATTTGATGAAACATTTGATAAATGATCACAGATGACCTAACAATAACGTATTTAAATAACCCATTAGACTTGTCCTAAACTTGTTAACATCCTACCTTATGTTATAAATATATATATATATATATATATTTATAATTCAAAAATAGACGACAAAGTACCAACAACTAAACTCTTGTGTAGCAAAGAAAGAGAAATACACTCCAAAGGTAATATCAAATGAATCAGATCATCTTTATTGCATAATTATAATAAAAAAATTCAGATCGAGCCAAAATAGGTTGGACGGTTTTGATCTGCAGGTGTACCTTAGCCGCGAAGCACTAGATCACTCCTCCGGAAGGTTGACTGGTCAACTGAAGGGCTGACATGGTTGATACATGTCAGACACGTGGCTGAAAGACTAACACGTGTCACTGACATGGCAAACAAGTGTTGTTGACGTAGCAAACAAGTGTCGCTGACGTGGCGGACACGTGGCGCTGACGTGACAGACACGTGGCGCTAACTGTGCGCTAACGTGGCATTGACTGGACTGCCACGTGGCTCGTCTTCCTCCTTTAGATGAGCGTGGGCGCGTGTGTGTGTATGAGATTACGCGCCGACAGTGTCACCAGCGTGTGAAGGTGCGTAGTGAGAGTGGTCTTCATGCACTTTCTTTGGGTGGCACGTGCGTGCGCGTGGCGAGGCTTCTGGAGCACTGTTTTGCAGTT